GACCAGGTTCCTAGACCGATCCTCTGGTTCCACACACACTTGCAGCAGGGCTGCTCCAGCGCTGGCGTCCAGGCAGAAGGCCGGGTGGGTTGTTCCTGTGTTCCACGGCCGAGCAGCAGTAGCTCTTGTCACGGTGATTTAGTCTCAGGTCCGTCTGTGGTTAGTGTCTGTGATTAGACAGCAGCCTGGGGAAAGGCTCCTGCACTTTGACACCTAGCGCAGGGACCGGCTCTGGATGGATCTCCAGTCTCTGAAGGAAAGCGGCTTGTTCTGTCCAGAAAGGAGCTGGTCTTAGATTCTCCTCCCGTAGCACTTTCCATCTGAGCATTTCTCAAATATGGATGAGTTCAGCCTCCCAGCTCTTGTGCGGGAGGTGGGTTTTATTATCCCTGCTTTATAAGTGGGGAAACGGAGACCCAGAGAGAGGATAGGAGCTACCTAGGGGCACTCGGGAGGTCTGTGGGCAGAGCTGGAATAGAACCCGGCTCCATGTCTCATGCGCACGGCACCTGCAGAGGGGAGGGGGACAGACAAGAGGAGGAGGCTGGATTCTGCAGCAAATGCCAGAGCCCAAAATACAGCCGGGGTGTCAGCCCTGAATCCGTTCTTCCCTGCGGTGACTGAAGCTTCATCCTCAAGTGTCGGCCTTGTGGCTGAATAGTGCAGAGAGCAGCCGATAGTCACCTGATCAGCTGCTGGAGTCCCTGAGCCCCAGGGCTCATTTGCATAGACCACCTGGCTTGCCTGGCGCCCCAGGGCTCTAAAGCTGCTGCAGGTTTGCACAGAGCCAGGGGCCCGGCTGCACAGCGGCTGCCGATTCCTTTCCTTCTGGCTCCCTCCAAGGCCTTCGCCATGGTGCTGCGCCTCCTGGCTCTCCTCCTCCCAGGGGTTTTGGTGCCAGGTAGGTTCCAGTGGGAGGCAGAGGAGATCAGGGAGTTCTGCAGAGGGAAGGACCCAAGGGCGAGGCTCCTGTGCTGAGCTATCGCTGCGCTGCAGACAGGGCCGGGCGGAGCAGGCAGGTGTGGTCAGGTGGGCTGCCGGAGGTGTGGCACGCGAGAGGTTAACCTGTAGCTGGTGCGGAGGCGATGCCGGAGGGGATAATGTCACAGTTCAGCCACTGGGGGTGGGATTGGCACATTCTGTCCATAACTGCGCCCTTGTTTCATTCAGCTTCCAGGGCGCAGCCGGTGCTGACACAGCCGGCCTCCATTTTAGTGTTGCCGGGACAAACGGTGAAACTCTCTTGTGCCCTAAATCCTGGGTACAACATCCGGGAGTTCGGGGTCTCCTGGTACCAGCAGAGACCTGGCAGCCCTCCGAGGTACCTGCTCTATTATAACTCGGAGGTGGACAAGGACAAGCCCTCTGGAATTCCGGACCGTTTCTCTGCGTCCAAAGACCCTGCCAGCAACGCCTGCGTTCTGACCATCGCCGCGGTCCAGGCCGAGGACCATGCTGACTATTACTGCTCCATCAGGTATCCCATCTACTATCTCTAGAAATGTGGAACCAAAACCTGTGCTGGCCCCCGGGGGATTCTGAAGAGCCCCTGCTTGCAGAGCCTCGTGCCGAAGGAACCGCAGCCCTATAAGGAACAG